ATGGCTCAGTGTCCTGCACAAAGCTAGACCAGTATGGTTTAGCAAATTATTCAGTGCATTGTGCAAATCTCTAAATTGGACTAATTTAATCATTCATGGCTCTTTTAGCCATGGGGATAGTCTGTTGTTACACACTCAAAGAGGTTGTTTCATGCAAAAGGAAAACATTTTTCTCACTTAAATGAATATTTACTCAATTCTCACACCTTTTGATGGACTGTGGTTTGATTTGTGAGGTCTCCATGGGGGGGGGGGTGCCACAGGGATATAGTACTCAGTGTCCAAAGTTAATAACTACATCTATTAGGACCTCCAATGAAAATGGCCTTTTTGAAGTGATAAAACCATTAAATATAGACTATGTCTTCAGAAACATCAAGCTTTTCACCAAGGCAAGTTTTTACTAACATTACCCCTTAATCTTGCAAATCATACAGAAGCATATTTCCAGCACAATATAAACAGTTTGATATAAACAAATTTCACATAAAACATCAATTTCTTAAACTTTACTTAAGATATCCTCTTCCCACTCCACACTTCAACAATTTATAGCAGAGTACAAATTTTCAAATGTTCTCAACAATGCAGATTTCAGATTACCACAGAAGAGGTTGTCCATATAACTCTAAAACTAACTTTTTTTTAAAGAAAGAAAATAGAAAATTCTATCACTTGATTTTAGTAACAAATAATACATATCTTAAAATATATATTTTAAAAAACTGCCTCTGAAAGATATAAGTATCCAAGGCACACTTGGAACCTCTACCGCATATTCTGTGAAAATGAAGCACTGGAAATAATATGTAAGTCTGCCACCACTCTGCTTGGATGTCAAATCCAAATAAAGCTGAAGTTAACAACTGTGAAATAGGCATGAGGCTGCAGATGGCAAAGAAAGCTAGTTTTTTTTTTCTTTAGAAACAAGTTCATAATGGTGAAACTGTAATAATAAATTGGGCTGTATCTGCAGTTATTGTCATTGATACTAGACTAGTCCTCCTCAACCTACTGTTTTCCATGTATTTCAGACTTCAACTGCCAGAATCTAGAACCAGGCAGATCATACCACTTTAGAGGGCAATAATTAGAAAAAGCTGCTTTAGATCCTTATACCTATAAAGTAAGGCTGTCTAAATCCTCCCAAGAAGCCTTTCAGAAGGCAGAAGAGTGTGTACAAATCACTTCTTTTCAAACTGTTCAGGCAGCCACATC